CGAAGTCTTTTGGTGGGGCAAGAAGTTCCAAAGAACTTGAGAATTTCTTATGGGACATGGAGCAATACTTTAGTGTTGCTAAGATCGGCGTGGCTGAACAAGTGGATCTTACCGTGATGTACCTCACGGGTGATGCGAAACTTTGGTGGCGGACGAGAACCAAAGATGACTTAAGTGCTGGACGTCCAAAGATTGAGACATGGGATCGTCTCAAGCAGGAGCTAAAGGAGCAATTCCTTCCCAACAATGCGTCGTGGATGGCACGGGAGGAATTGAAAAGGCTCAAACATGAAAGGTCAGTTCGCGAATATGTTAAATCTTTCAGTTCTTTAATTCTCGACATCGAGAATATGTCCGAGGAGGACAGGCTGTTCAACTTCATGTCCGGGTTGCAAACTTGGGCGCAAGCGGAACTAAGGCGACAGAACGTGAAGGATCTGTCCTCCGCTATTGCTGCTGCGGACAGTTTGGTTGATTTCAAATCAACTACTAGAGAGGGCTATACATCTGCCTCCTTCAAGGCTAAGGGAAGGAACAAGGAGGATAAGATGAAGAAGAAATTCGGTGGGGGTGCATCGAAGGCTACTGCCGCAGAGAAGGGCAAGGCCAAGTTTATGGGTGCACAAGGTAAGAGTCCGAAACCGAATTTTAGTTGCTTCATTTGTGATGGACCTCACTTTGCGAGGGAATGCCCGAAGCGGGAGAAGTTGAATGCTATCCGGGCTGGGGGTAGCGATGAGGATGAGGGGGTAGTTACGCATGTCAATCCCATGCGTGTGATAAACTGCCTGGTAGCAGAATCGGGGGATGCGGCTGCCGAAACTTGCCCTGTCGAGGAAGACTTGGCGAGGATTGATACATTGCGGAAAGGAAAGTCAGGGGCTACGGACAACCTGATGTATGTGAGGATTGGGATAAACGGCAAAAACGTGAATGCTATGCTGGATTCAGGAGCAACCCACACGTTTGTGGCAGATCGGCTGGTGAAGGAACTTGGCTTGCGGCTGAGTGATAGCCATACATCCATGAAGGCAGTAAACTCGAAGGCACAGAGAATTGCTGGGATGTCTTATGATGTGCCGATAATACTGGATCAGTGGAGAGGTAAGCATGATGTGTTGGTCGTAAATCTTGACGATTACGATATTATTCTTGGTCTAGATTTCTTACGAAAAGCCAAGATAGTTTTGATGCCATATCTCAATGGAGTCATGATTGCAAGTGAGGGATGCCCATGTTTCGTCCCATGTTGCAATATCACAGCTGTGAAAGCGGTGAAAGGGGGGAAGAGCTTGGTTTCGGCAATTGCTCTTGACAAAGCATTGCGGAAGGGAGGGGAAGTGTTTCTTGCGACAATAGTTGATGAGAAGGCAGACTATTGTGGGGAGGTGCCAAACGAAATTGCTAGCATGCTGCAGCAATTCGAAGATGTGATGCCGCCTCAGCTACCGAAGAAACTCCCACCTAGGAGAAACATCGACCATCGAATTGAGTTGGTGCCGGGGACAAAGCCACCATCTCAAGCCCCTTATCGAATGTCGCCAATGGAATTGGCAGAACTGAGGAAACAATTGGAAGAGCTGATTGACTCGGGATTTATCCGCCCTTCCAAGGCTCCATATGGTGCTCCTGTGCTGTTTCAAAAGAAGGCGGATGGAAGCCTTCGCATGTGTGTGGACTACCGAGCACTCAATAAGGTAACAATCAAAAACAAATATCCTGTCCCTTTAATTCAGGATTTGATGGATAGATTGTGCGGAGCCTCTATCTTCACGAAATTGGACTTGCGGTCGGGGTATTGGCAAGTGCGGGTTGCTGATGGGGATGAGCATAAAACTACTTGTGTGACGAGGTATGGCTCATACGAGTTTCTAGTTATGCCATTTGGCCTAACAAATGCTCCAGCAACATTTTGTAATCTAATGAATGATGTGCTATATGATTTCTTAGATAATTTTGTTGTAGTCTACTTAGATGACATTGTAATCTATAGTAGAAGCATTGAAGAACATGTAACTCATCTCTCTAAAGTCTTAAGTAGATTGAGAGAACATGAATTGTATGTAAAGAGGGAAAAGTGTGAGTTTGCAAGAGATGAAATTATGTTCTTAGGCCATTTAATTGGCGAAGGACAGGTGAAGATGGATCCACGGAAGATTCAAGCCATCGTTGAATGGACAGCACCAAAATCAGTCCCGGAATTGAGGTCATTTTTGGGGCTTGCAAACTACTACAGACGATTCATTGAGGGCTATAGCAAGAAAACAACTCCTCTCTCGGATCTTCTGAAGAAGAATCGGAGTTGGGAATGGACGATTGACTGCCAACTAGCTTTTGAGAAGCTGAAAACAGCGGTAGCGTCAGCTCCAGTTTTGGGGCTGCCTGATTTTGAGAAGCCATTTGAAGTGCATACGGATGCTTCGGATAGGGCCATTGGGGGAGTGCTAGTACAAGAGGGACATCCAGTTGCTTTTGAGAGTCGGAAGCTAACTGATGCGGAACAGAATTACTCGACGCATGAGAAAGAGATGACGGCAGTGGTGCACTGCCTAGGCATATGGAGAGTATATCTGTTGGGGCCAAAATTTGTGGTCAAGACTGATAATGTGGCGAACACATTTTTCAGGACACAGAAGAAATTGTCACAGAGACAGGCTCGGTGGCAGGAATTCTTGGCCGAATATGACTTTGTATGGGAGCACAAACCGGGGAGCCATAATCAGGTTGCGGATGCACTCAGCAGACGCGAGGTAATTGCTACTGTTCTTGCTATTGTTCAGGTGGAGTCGGACATGCTGGGACGACTTCGTCTAGCTGCTGGGGAAGATGCAGCGTACAAGAAAATGGTTGAGCTTGTACGAGAAGGGACAATACAGAGGTATTGGCTGGGACAAGACGTACTCTATGCAAAGGGGGGTCGAATCTTTGTGCCAAAGGGGGAGCTGCGAAAACACTTAATGACGGAGACTCATGATCCGCAATGGGCAGGACATCCAGGTAGAGAAAGGATGGTTGCTCTCTTGTCGCAGACTTATTATTGGCCGAAGATGGAAGACGATGTAGAACTTTACGTCAGGACTTGTCTTGTGTGCCAACAAGACAAGACTTTGCGGCAGCGAGAAGCAGGCTTATTACAGCCGCTGCCGATTCCAGAGAAGCCTTGGGTGTCAGTTTCGATGGACTTCATTGTTGGCTTTCCAAAGGTGGATGGCATGAACACGATCATGGTTGTCGTGGACAGATTCACCAAGTATGCGGTGTTTGTAGCTGCCCCTGTGGTGTGTACAGCCGAAGTGGCCGCTGACTTATTCTACCGCAACGTGGTGAAATACTTTAGAGTACCCTCAGACATTGTAAGCGATCATGATGTGCGATTCACGGGTAGATTCTAGATAGCATTGTTCAACATGATGGGAACAAGGTTGAAGTTTTTGAATGCCAACCATCCGCAGACTGATGGGCAGATAGAAAGGATAAATGCTTTGCTAGAGGAATATTTGAGACACTACGTGATAGCAATGCAGCGAAACTGGTTGGAGTTGCTAGATAGTCCAAAGTTTTGCTATAATTTTCAAAAATCCTCGGCAACAAAAGCAAGTCTATTTGAGCTGGTTTTGGGAACACAACCCCAAACTCCTGCCGAGATTGTAGTGCAGATATCTGGTGGGAAGAGTCCAGCGGCATACAGATTTGCGATGGAGCGACAAGAGTTGTTTGAGCAAGCTCAAGATAGTTTGCGTAAGGCAAGGAAGAGGATGCTCAAATATGCAAATCAAAAGCGAAGGTTACTGGAATTCAGTGTGGGTGACAAGGTGTTGCTCAAGTTAACTCCGCAAATTTAGAAGAAAATTGTGGGGATGTCGAAGCACCGAGGGTTGGTGCCTTTTGAGGTCATTGAAAAAGTAGGGGTTGTCGCCTATAGATTGAAGCTGCCCGAACGGCTGAAGCTTTATCCTACTTTTCATGTAAGTTACTTACGACCATTTTATGAAGACAATGAGGATTCGAAAAGAAGTAAGTCGCAACGAGCTCCTCTTACGATTCACAAGCAATTTGTCGATGGTATCGTCAAGATTATGGATCATCGTCGACTTGGCCAACACAAAAAGAATCGACGAACAGAATTCTTAGTGAAATGGAAGACGAATGAAGAGGTTTCGTGGGAGAAGGACACAGATTTGTGGCAATTTGAGGATCAAGTGCAAAACTACCTCACATCTATTCCGACGAGGACGTCAGACTCTTCTAGTAGGGGTGGTTTGTTAAGGCTCTAGGCGTGGGGACGCGCCAACGAGGGCACATTGCCTAGAATTCGGCAGCGATGGACAGCGGCAGCCTTGCGTAGGCAGAAACGAATTCGGCAGGCAGCGTGCAATGGTCTATGCGAGTCGTTGAGCTTGCGACTTGGCATGGACGTGGGGGGGGTTGAATTTCGTTGCGAAAAATTTAACCCCGTGACACTAAGCATCGCAACACAAAAAGAACAAGCCCAAAACAATTGTTTGCCCTAGAAAGAGAAGAGACTGTGTGCATTATAATCTGTCCAGCGCAACCAGCCACAAAAGTCACACCACAATGAACCTCTAATTTCTAGAGATTCCTGAAACCAAAGAAAACAGCCTAAGTTGACTCAACAACCCTCAAAGCCACAAAAGTCACACCACAATGAACCTGTAAGTTGACTCAACAACCCTCGAGGAATTGACCCAGAAAACCTAAGTTTTTGGCTCTAGTCAGTTATATTCGATGATCTCTTTATGAGTGTTCTACTTATTATATAGCCAAGTTTGAGTTAATTACATGGCCGAATCTCAACAATTACATCAATTTGCCTAATTATATAGGAAGCTAAAATATACAGGAAATCACAAAATATTTATAGCTATAATCACTCTATAAATAGATAGGCTAGGCTAATTATGTCTTGATATAATCTGACTGACATTGCTAAATTGCTGGGCAAATCAACGGAGAGATATATTTTGACACCATCACAGTCCATAAAGCTACAACTTAATAATTCAAACTATTTGGTTCACATATCGCTACAGCTTGCTAAAATGTGGCATTCCAACACTACGAATAGAACTGCATATCAAAACAATTCAGATTCAGACATCACGAGGTTGTCCAAGTGATCAATGTCACAAAATGATAATTGGCGAGTTTAAACGGTCAGTATTGTTCTCACTCTGAAATGATATAACGCTATGAGTGCTCTGACAATGACTTGAGGAAGGACTTGAACTTTCGGAGAAAGAGCGTGGCGATTCACTTAGCAAATGCTTGGTGTCATCATTTTTGTGCTGTGACCAAGAACTTTCATGAAGGGCCTTCTGCTTAGCAAGCTCATCGGATACTTCCTTCATGGTCGGGCGGTTTATGCCCATGCTGTTGACACATCTTATTGCAAGCTCGGCAACAACTTCTATCTCATCCATGTCACCTTCATCAGCTGCCCGAAAATCCAAAATTCCGAAAAGATTATTATTTTCCAGTGCTGAGATAAAGTATTCAATAATGTTCCTTGTTTCTCCAGACTTGACATGGGAGTTTGGCTTTTGTCCTGTGAGAAGCTCCATGAGAACAACCCCAAAACTGAAGACATCACTCTTTGGTGTTAAATTACCCGTCATAAGATACTCTGGATCCAGGTAGCCAAAAGTCCCTTGTATCTTTGTGGCTATAAAGCTTTGGCCTGAAGAAATCAGCACTGAAGCTCCAAAATCTGCAACCTTTGCCGTGTAGTTATAGTCTAAAAGTATGTTCACTGACTTGACATCTCCATGAATAACTGGAGGGTCTGCTAGAGAATGCAGGTAATCAAGTGCAAGGGCAATCTCTGATGCTATCCTCAGACGATTGCTCCAGGAAGCTAATATCTGTGACCTTTTATCATGGATGTGCTTGTAAAGAGTTCCATTTGAAATGAACTCATAAACTAACAATGGCACTTTGGTTTCCAAACACAAGCCCAAGAGCTTGACCACATTCCTGTGGTTGACCTGTGAAACAATGCCAATTTCTTTCTGAAATTCTTCGTTCAGCTGATCCTTGTCTACCCCTTTAAACTTCTTGACAGCAACCAGGGTATTATCTGCTAAAACTCCCTTGTAAACGTAACCAAAACCACCTTCCCCAAGTTTCTGATCTTCAACATAATTGTTGGTTGCCTTTTCCAGCTCTGCCTCTCTGAAAATCCTTACTCGCTGATGCTTCAAAACCATTCCCCCATTTTTTCTGAAGTTCTTGTCCCTTCTTCTTTTTGTGCAGATTACATAGAGTAGGCAACAAATAATCAATAGGAAAACTGCTGCCCCAACAGCTACTGAAAGAAAGAGATCATAGGATATGAAATCAGCAACTTTAAAGAAAGAAACGGTTGTGCTATAACTGTAGGCAAAATCTTAATTTCTGATAATCCAGAGTAATGTGAAGGGATTTCTGGAAATTTGTATCTAGTAATGGCAAGAGTATTCTCCCAGGAAAAAAAAATGTCACAGCGGAATGAGAAAATGCAAAGGATATTTACCTGATATAATTATGATACCACCAAATCCCTGACAACCGTTTTCACCATTAGCATACTCGCCAAATGGACAATGACATTTGTAGCTTCCAATAGTGTTCTTGCATTTACCTTCACATGGGTATCTTTCTGGATATTTGCACTCATCAATATCTATAAAAACACAAGGAATCAGTATATGATTATAAACCTTAAAATTATTTATATGCATATTAAATTAGGAAAGGAAATACCCCACATGATCGGATCAAAATGTAGAAAAGTACTGTTTCTTTTGTGAATATAACCAGAAGAACTATTAAGATTTCAGAAATTCCAAAAAGCATCAATCTGTTTACCTTGGCATCCTTGTTCAAGATAGGGGTTTCCTTCGAAGCCTTCATTGCATACGCAACGATATCCCTGACCATTCTCTGAATAAGTGCAGTTTGTATTAATGCCACAAGCATATGCACTTGTATTAGCTTTAGCCTGTTCACATGTCTCATTCTTAACTACCCATTCAATCGCAACATCTGATGTATCTTCTCCATCTGCCATGCGACTGAGCGGCCAATCTGAAAGATGAAAGGAGCGCGTATCCGCTAAAAATGCAAATCCACAGGGATTGAAATCCGAAACATTCGAGTGGTTGAAAAAACTATAAGATGAAATATCAAGTGACTTGAGGCCCATGGGAATCGAGGTTTGGCAGCATCCAGAACCTGAGCAAGTATTTGCATCTGTCATGTTCACATATTTTGTGCATAGGGATAGACAGGCAGCTCCATATGTAAACTCTTCGTTGGTCACCTGGGCAGCCGTATCACAGCCGATAGCTGTGAATATGTTTAGGGTGTCTGAGAACGTAAAAGGGCCTGGTCCAAGTTTCATTGACTGATCGAAAATGCGATTTTCATTCCCCAATTTGTCATAACAGTCATATGCCGTACTAATGCTTACAGTCACTGTGCCCTCCAGCAGCGATATTTTACGAGCAGTCATGTTGCTTCTAAACCACAGTTCAGCACCACCGTCATTTGAACTGCAATTCAGAAAGAAATGCTCATCCATGGCACAGTCAGGTTTCCCAATCCCAAAGGGATAAGGAACACTAACATTCCCACATTTTTCTTGGCACCCAGGTTTCACATCTTGGCTTGAAGATTCAGTTGTCATAAGCCAGAACATTACTAACATCATGAGCAAAGACACCCTCATCTGGAGAGTCGTTTTCTCACACTCCCCAAGTTAACTAATTGCCATTTAAACAAGAAATGAATATATAATAGGAATTTTCTATGAACAGCTGTTTTCTTAGGGCACACTGTCTGATGATGAAGCCTTGATGACAGAATGCGGCAACCTTTGTTGCACATCCCTTTATAAAATTTCACAAGCATTACCGGCCGGCTGTTTATAAAAACAAGAAACTCAACCATCCTATAAGAAATTATGCTATTAATCAAATAACTAGCCAAAAATGCGACAAGACTCACATATTTCTTATCGAAAAAACAACATCGTATTACTAGAGGTAACTCATCCAAGAATACATATATCAACATCAACCATTGTATGAAACTACATTGAATTACTCGCCTAAACATACATCCAAAACTCGTCATCTTCGATCATCAAACAAAGTAATTACATATAAATTAACTCAATATCAAAAAATATATAAATCTGTAGTTTCAACCAAATCATACTTTATTTTGTCCCAATCTTTACAACAACACAATGAACTTCTTGGAAGATCATTAGAATAAAAGACTATCATCTATCGTTAATTTAAGTCATAAAATCCAAGGACTTGTTGAAGAGACTAGCTAAATATATAAATATTACGTGGTGATGTATATACATGTACTCTGTACTGTACTGATTATACACCAGAGATTAGATAAGTGGACAGGTTTTTGCAGGCGGTGTGGGTCTTGATTTACAGGGTCGTTGACAGTTTTCAAAAACATGGGACACTAATGCTATCAACGGTGGGCTGGTAGCACTATTGAGTATCAACTGCGGCGAACATGAATTATTTTTCTTTGATGTAGTCCGTCAAGCAATGGTGGAGGGATTGAATCTTTGTCAACGAAGCAAGTGTTCCATAGGGATCCTATTCTCATTCATTAATTAGCTGCAAATTGTGTTGGTGCGGGAAAGATGGAGAAAAAGAATGATGCGAGGTTTGTGGGGAATAAAGGTATGAAGATGATGCTAAAAACGCACCTGAAAATATTTTTTTTAATGAACTGGACTTGAATAAATGTATGGATGAAAGGCAGCTGAATGGCCTATACATAGATAAGGAAACAGCTGGTTAAACGCAAGAGGTAAAAGGATAAGTGATAAGGTAGTTTGCAAATAAAATAAAAAAATATTTATCTCACATTATAATATTAGAATATTAGAATTAGACTTTTAACGTTTTTAATGTTTTCAAGTATGAATTTTTATTGTATAAAAAATTAAATTATAGTGGATAAATTCTTTATTTAACTTTCTAATGTTATTATATAAATATTTATAATGTTAAAAAATATAATATTTTTAACTTGAAATTTAATATTAACAGTTATATTGTTTCATGAATAGTCATTATGTTTGATGAAAAATTATATTATTTTATTAATAATAATATTATTTGATGAACAGTTATAATATTTTATCAATAATTATATTATTTGATAAACAATTATATTATTTTATTATATTATTTTAAGTTTATAAAAGTATGTTATTATACAAAAAAAACAATAAAAAATATATAATTTTTTTAGTTTTATTTTTTTAAAGAATTTAATTATATCCTAAAAATATTATCTGTATTATCTGCATGTGGAATAAATAAATACTTTAAAAATAATATTTTCACACTCCTAAACCAATTTCAAATTTATTTCCATCTTAGATATTTTTAACAGTGTATTTTAATATTTTTAACTTGAAATTTAATATTAATAGTTATATTATTTCATGAATAGTCATACTGTTTAATGAAAAATTATATTATTTTATTAATAATGATATTATTTAATGAACAGTTATAATATATTATTAATAATTATATTATTTGATGAACAATTATATTATTTTAAGTTTATAAAAGTATGTTATTATAAAAAATATATATATATAATTTTTTTAATTTTATTTTTTTAAGGAATTTAATTATATCCTAAAAATATTATCTGTATTATCTGTATGTGGAATAAATAAATACTTTAAAAATAATATTTTTGCATTTCTAAACCAACTTAAAATTTATTTCCATCCTAGATATTTTTAACACTGTGTATTCTAGGTGTGCTATTACCTTGATTTGGAAGGGAATGTGATTGTGCAGGGATGCAATATTTTGTCCCGCTTGACACATAGCAATCCTGGGATCGCCGGCAGGAAGTGAATCATGGGCTAAAATGCTGGTGTGAAAAGCAAAAGTGTGGAATGAAGCAGATGTGAAAAAAGGACCCCTTGTCTGAGGACTTTCAGGCCTGTGAGATGGCAGGTGGTGATGCCATGGCCTGTTTTGTACATGGAGGGGAGAGAATGGCCGAGGCGGGATTGGTATTTATCGATAATGGGAAGAGCG